GTTTTCATGAATAGCGGGAAAACCACTCATATTCTTTTCAGTTCTGGATGCTGTGGGAAGCATTTCTGTAAATACTGGGTGTGGTGCGTGACTCTTTGGGTTCAGACCCTGTGTCCGTGAGCGGAAGGCCGCTGGTTCAGATCTCCTGGCTGGCAGAGTGATGTCATCGCTGGGTCCATGAGCTGCGGGGGGGTTGGATGCTGGCCGACCCTGTGCTGTGACCCCAAACTTCCTCTCACCTGTATATGTGTCGGTGTGTCTCTTGGGGCGAAACGACAATTTCCCTATGGGGATGAATGAAGCATCATTATTCATAGATCGTTCAAACAAAAATTTCTTCTAAAAGCCTGTTTCACAGGATTGATAGCTCTCCGATTAGTGTATTGTTGATTAGGGCTGGGTGATAAGTAAAATATGTCATTTTAGTTTAAAATCATCGCAATAAATAATCATTTTGAGTCCCCCCAACACAGAATTCAATTTCAGTTCAATTTTATTTGTATAGTGTGTTTTCACAACATTACATTGTCTCAAAGAGATTTACAGCATCCCCACCCAAAGCCCCCACTGAGCAGCCAGAGGCGACAGTGGCAAGGAAAAGCTCCCTAGAAGGAAGAAACCTTGAAGGACTGTGGAAGTTGGTTGAGAAACGTTGTAGTTAATGAGGCAATGGAACGTCTGATACTGTACTTTGGAGCTGAGGCTGAAGGGAGGCTATACTGTATATCAGTATAGCCTGGAATAGACCGGCTATAAGCACTTTGCTCAGACACTCCTGGGTTAGACTGAAATATTGCAGCAGCACCAGCACCTTTTCCATCTGCTCGAGGGTTATGCTGTAATCAGCTGGAGTAGATTCATTTAGTGCCATGAATTCATTCGGTTTAAGCCAGGTCTCAGTTAGACATAAGGACCAAGACTAAAATCAGTAATCATTTCATTTATTAGTAGCTCCTTAGGAGCCAGTGATCTTACATTCAAAAGTCCAGGTTTTAGCCTTGCATTACACCTATTACAGTATCTAATAACGGATTTGGTTTAATTATTATTAAGTTATTACGACATACACTACGGTGGAATAGACCTCCATGATTAACAGTGCGGGGAACAAACACATTCCCAGTAACATGAACCCTATAGGTGACGACTCTAAGCGACTAGCAGGCGTCGGTTATTCCGGTTTGCCTGCCGCCTGGACTTGGCTCTGGCTAGTCAGCGATTTGCCTGGAGACTATGAGCTATGCTTTTGGACAGGAGATCGGCACCAGCCCGCGAGGGGTGAATACCGTCCCTCTTCAAAAGCCCAGGCCCACCCCCAAACGTTCCCCAATCGTCTATATAACCCACAGCATTTATCAGGCACCATTCCGACAGCCAGCGATGCAGCGACGATAATCTGCTGTATATTTCATCACCACGTCTAGCAGGGATGGAGCCAGAGCGCGTTACTGACACAGACGTCTTCTTCACAAGGCTGCACACCTCTGTGAAATGTGTCTATGTAACTATGGACTGTGAATTGCAGAAGCATGTCCGGTCAACAGATATAGCTCTACATTAATTTTATTGTTCTTTTTTAATTTATTTAAATTTATTTTTGTTACTTTTTTAAGATGTGAACAGAATGTAGAACCGCGTTGGGGTGTAACGCTGGCTCTCTGATGATAAATGTTGCTGAGCTCAGGGGTAGGAAATGTGTGTGAAGTTATGGGACAAATTGCGTATTTGACTGTTATGGGAGGTTTACGTCCATCTTGCTGTCCATGTGTTCCTATATATTCTGTGATTTTTGGTAGAGGTCGACCGATATTGAATTTTACCGATACCGATAGCTAGGTTGGTCCGTACTTGCCGATAACCGATTAATTAACTGATAGTTTTTAAAATGGATACTGGAT